GATTTCTTCTACGGATCTACGACTCAACCTGTAAGCATAATTTTTGGATGTTCTACAACCAATAGTCTCTTGGCTTTTACCATACTACTGTAATTACTGACTGATGATATCCCGAAAACACACATTTTTTATTTGATTTGATGTATGAAAGAATTATCAAATGAGTATATTTTACCATAATCCTCTTGAATGAGATTTCTAAGCTCCAATCAATATTAAGTGAAATTAGACATTGACTGAATAATCTGTTATTTGATTAGTAGTGCTACACTGTTTGATTTTATTTTAGAAAATATGAAAAAAATTCTTTGCAGGGTAATACTTTCTCAACATAAAACTATACTATAAAAGAATTATATGACAAAAAGGGTTAAAAATTATTCAGCATAGCAAATTTTCTATTCGATTATATCATTTACGGAATCATATTTATATTTTCAAAAGGGGTTAGTATCAGAAGGAGTTTAGTGGATATTATAGTAATTTTAATAGTTGAGATCATGAGTCAATTGAAGCTAGACCATCATAGAAAACCTGGAGGCACTGGGTGGGCGTTTCTTTCTATTGTGGGACTCTTCAGTAGTGTGCATCCACGATCCCGCCTCGCGAGATTCGTTTATAATTAATAGAATGATATCAAATCAGAGTGATTGTAAATACTGAATATAAGAAGGTAGGTTGTGTAACAATCTAAAGATTGATTAAAAATGATACAATGAAAAATGTTTATAAGTGGGAGATAAAACCCTAATTGAAGAATATGGAAATATTGTATTAAAGAATGATACATTGTGATAATAATTAATTGGCAATTACAAAGAAATTAGAGTAGTATAATAATAACCAATTACTGGATTTAAAAGCAAAGATGGATAATGGCTAGTAGTTGAATCCAGGACACGAGTTTCGTCCCATGTGGGGGTCGTCAGCTGGATGTGCCTGCACCTCAGAGTTGACGTTCACTCCGGGACTTGAGCCCAGTACCATTCGCCTCGAACGCCATCACGTTATTCACTCAGCTACTGAGTGCTGATAGCCATCTCCTTGTGCACTGGGGTGAAGATTAAATCCACTTGATACTGTTTTACTTGTATCTGTAACGGTATTGGGTTCCAGTCTCGGAGTGGCCATCAACTCTGGGATGCAGGCATATCCAGCTGACAAGTGCTAAATAGAACGAAACCCACGTCCTGGATTCCACTGCTAGCCATTATCCGTCTTTGCTTAAAATGCTTGTGACTTAATGCTATACTATATCGAGGCCACCGGTACAGGATGCACATATGCCAAAATGAGACTGATCGATTGCAGTCCTAAATAACAATGGGAAGATAAAAGTAAAACGAAAACAAGTGTAATTACTAAATTTGTTAGATAATTATTTATAGGACTGTAAGGTTTCAGTAAATGATACTGTTAGAAAGAGAATTTTCCTTAACGAAATGGTCTTTACTTTTTCATCAATGACTTAATGGATGTTTTTAATGGTTCAAAAAAGTGAATGCTTGTTTGTGAAAAAGCATTGGGGTAACTTATAATGTTAATGCTAATAATAATAATGACAATACTAATAGTTTTACAAATCAGTATAAATTTTATATTGGTAATGGCTTTTTAAGGGTCAATACCCGACAGTCATCTTTAATGATAAACTTTTTCTATCAGCTTGACTGCTACAACTACTGATTTTCATCCACCAAGAATTGAACATCAATTTTGAAAAATCCTATTGTTTTTTTCGAATGGTAGACAAACAGAGGAATATGTCAACAGGCACTGTGTTTCATTCCGAGATCTCCAGTATTTCGCACCACAACAGGTGTTAAGCCGATTATAATTCTGTATGAGCAATCACATTAAAGATTCACAATAATTCAGTTTAAACAAATCTAAAACATGATGTATAGTCATATATTCGCCATTGGAAATGAAGTACCTCAAACATTTGAGCAGACTATAATGAGTTATCTAGTTCCATGATAAAAACATCCCTACTTTAACCAATACACTGAAAAGTTCAAAGCCACTTTTTATCTGAACAGTATGTTAGATTTATCAACATTCATGTAAACAATACGGTTCGAATCAACCCTTAATTACCAAATAGTTTACAATGAATAGTGATAGTTGAATCCATACCAAAGTAACATAAAAATTCATTTTAAAAAAAATTATGATGAACATCAAATTCATACAAAAAAAGCATTTGGATAAAAAGAAATAGGTGCAACTTATCATCATAACAAACGTACTGAAACCAATAAAGTACATTTCAGTAACTTAACAAATTAAGCCTTAACAGTATAATAAAAGAATATAATTACCATCATTATTTGACAGTTTCCAAACATTTTCTTTTGTTTCATCCAAACAATAAAAATTGACACTTTATCATACCCAAATATACACACTTCTAACAATACAATCCTATTTACAATCAAAAGATTATTATTATTATTATTATTATTATTATTATTATTAGTAGTAGTAGTAGTAGTAGTAGTAGTAGTAGTAGTAGTATTGTTAATTGTTTTAATCGTCTTTGTTTTTAGAAAAAGACAAACAATATTTAAAAAAGAAGCATCTTAAAAAAACAAGATTGTAATGAACTTATAAGGTCTACGTTTCTTATTTTTGTATATGTCTGGTGATAATTATGTAACAATTAAATTAATTTCATTCATTGTTTCTATTCATAATTCGATAACAAAAAAGAATATAATTAAACAATCACTTTCTGATTGAGATCATGAATAAACCAGTGTTAGACCATTATTGAAAACCTGGAAGTAATGAACAGTCATTTAGTTCTATTATGGGTTTCCTCAGTAATGCATATCAACGATCACACACTCGGGATTCGAATCCAGGACCTTCGATCTCGCGCACGAACTATTGGCCCCTAGACCAGTGAGACGGTATTCTATATCTAATTTCAACCAATCCACGAAATTACGCGACTATCTTCCATTGTCTGAAGTAGATATCTGTCTCATCACTGGGTGATGGCTTCTCACAGTTGAAAACATATAATAATCATGAACATACTCTTTTGTTTAAACAAAATTTCAAAACGGTTTGAATAAATAAATCGTTTTTTACAGAGAATCAAATGAATTTTGTTTAGTTATAGTTTATAAAGTTTAAAACTAAATTATACTATAGAAATTGAGTAACTCTTAAAATGAAGTTAAACTTTTTTAGGACAACTAATGTAATGAATCTGAGAGATACTTGAAGTTTGTTTTTTATAACCAGTCAGAATAAGAATAGCAAGAGAGAATAATTTATGATTAAAGAAAAAGAAATTAATATAATGTATTCTTCACGAATAATCAATTTATCCAGCTTGATTAAAGGTTCTTTTGTCTTAAAATCGGAGTAAGGTCAGTAAAGACATTTATTCATATAGGTTCAAATGATTAACGTATATGAATCTTAATAAAAATGATGATAGTTATCATGTTCTTTTTATTATACAATTGTATGTTTTATCAATTCCTACAACTTTCTCTCAACCACTTATAGATGAAGGTGTTTTTATTATGTTTTCAAAGTATACATCCTTGTATTATTCTAATCACTTCACTATTGCTACTTCATTTACTCCATTCAGTACAATTGCACAGGTCACATAGATGTCTATAATTCAGTGCATAACTAGTAACGTTACACTTTTATCGAAGAAGATATAGTATCATAATCAATTTTTCTGTATAAATAAACATTAAAGTAATCTGAAAATGCACATACAGTGATTAATTACTGTGATCTGATTTCGGCATCGATGATTACACTTTTTCACATAACTCAAACCAACTAGTAATAATCTCATAAACTAATACCATATGTTCCTTGTTCAACGTGATCTCATTATCGTTTACACATCGTATCAAATTAAATATTGCCTAGGTATGCATATTGTATCCATCATACAGATTACAGTTAAGAAGGCTAACTTTCTCTTCAGTAGACTTATTACAACTGCATAGTACTGTCTGCTCCCTGTTGGTACTATTTTTTTAGTTGGTTTAACTATGCTCATAACTAGTTATAGAGGTCGCGTTTCATGTCTTCGTATAAGCAGGGTATGGTGTCAGATACTGACAGCTCTGTTGATGGTTATTTTCTGCTTGAATAGCTCAATGTTCAGTAATATAGGTTCGAATCATGGGAAGTACTGTTCAAGTCAAGATTGTAGATATATATTTCTAATATGTTCCATAGAGTTAATGGACGACAGTTTCCTACAGACTATCTTCAATCGCCTAACACGTAAAATCATAATTTTCCATTTAGTCATTCTTATGCATCCTCAAGTAATATACTCAGAACTATGAATGTAATACAAATTCTGCATTTGAAGCATTAATTACACTATACATACCTAACGTTAGTACTAACCATTGTTCAACAAGCATTAGCGGACTTAACAAAAATCTTCTCTACATCATCTATTCTCTAAAATAAACAACCTTCATAATATGTTATATAAATAACTAACTGATTACAGCTACATAATCATTGAAAATCAAAAAGCATTGAATATACATTACATTCCACTTGGAATGAGTTCACAAATTGAACAACATCCACAAACTCCCTATATCTATTCATCACTTCATAATTATTAATTTCTTTCCTTTTTTTGAAGTAACATCTTTACTAAAACTCTTATCATCAGGAGAGGTTTTGTGGAGATTTTAGTAATTTCAATATTTGAAACCATGAGTCAATTGAAGCTAGACCACCATCGAAAACCTGGAAGTACTGGATGGCCGTTTCGTTCTAGTATGGGACTCCTCAACAGTGCGCATCCACTACCCGACCCGCGGGATTCGAATCAAGGACCTATCATTCTCACGCGTGAGCGCTTAACCATTAGACCACTGAACCGGCATCCAACGTTAATGCCTAACTTCAATCAACTCTTATCGACAATCTCACTGAACAGTAATTTATTAAATTCCTTATTATTGAAAAAGTATTTTTTTAAAAAGTCTCTTTTAATTGTAGTACATGTAATAGGTATATTTCTTTGCAATACAAAATTACATAACTCATAGTAACAAACATCATAATTATTGAACATAGTAAATAACTAATTAACATCAAATACTAAGATCAATGTTTCAATTCATCTTTATGTTTATTTGTTTGTTTGTTTTTTTATTGTTTAATTGTATATTTACTGGATTATTTTAACCTTTTGGTGTACGCCATAATAAAAAGATATTTGGTCCATATTTAAAATGTAAAGCTTTAAATGGTTCATGTGAAAAATTCATACAATATGATCCATTTAATATAATTACTTGCCATACACGATCATATGTTTCATCTAAATATTGTTTTAATTTATTAGATATTTCTTTAATTTCTGATTGTTTAAATTCTTTTAAATCACCCATAAGTTCACGTACATGTTCAGTGATATCATATTCAGCTTGTGGTGACATTTTTGATAGAATAATTTCAAAATCTTTTGAAGGTTTCGGTGTTGATGCAACATTTACTTTACTACGTTGAATTTTTTCTACACACCTATTTTTTTAAAAAAGTAAGAAAATAATATAAGTAGTATATATAAATGAAATAAATTTTAAACAAACTATATATTACAACTTTTTAAATTATATAAATTTAATTAGAAATTGATTCACAGAGATCCTTTCGTATGTTGAAGATATTCAAATGATCTTAGAGACAGGAGTTTTATGGTACACTTTCTAATCTTTGATGAATGTTTTTAATTGTTTATTATTTATTATTTTATTTGAACACATATATATTGGTACAGGAGTGCGCCAAACATATATGCGCCACACAATTTCAGTTCATTAATTGCGTGTGGGCTGCGTTACTGCCCGGGTGCCCAGACCGAAGCAGGTGGTTATCTTAGGGGGCCACACCCCGAGCCTTTGACCTAAAGGTCTAACCCACAAGGCAGTGGAACATCGTAAGGAGATGCAGTCCCATGGTAGCCGGTGACCAACGATTGGTTCATACGCCATTTGTTCCCGCAGGATACTGGTGCCCATGTGCACCATTGGTTTGGAATCCGGTTAAAGCGCCGGACATTCGCTTTTCGTCCTCTCATTTTCGTAAACAACACCCCCGCCACGAGAAGGCAGTGAGTAGGACTTCCCTGGCAGAGGCTGTATACGCGCGGCCGTGTGAGAGTATTTCGAGAGGAAGGGCGAACCCACCCCGCTCTCGGCCATACCAGGGCTTCACATTAATGGCTACAATGAACATGTTCCTTAATGAACAATGATTAAGTAAGATTAAGCAGTGTTTGTGCCTTATAAGCTAGGTATGATGTATTGTTTATCTATATATTAGTAAATTGATCCACACTATAAATGTGTAATAAGATTATCAATTTCTTAAAAGTTTAATTAGAACAGTAAAAAGTAATCAAAAGTACGTCATACTCAACATATCAAATATATTTATAACTACAATGTAAATAGATTTTTAAATTTCAATGATCATACAATGGTGGTATATACTTGCTACAATGATTAAGTAGTGCATTTATAAAAGAGGAAGGCCAAAGAACACATTATGTTGGGAAATAGAAGCAGATATGAAAAGAATGAATGACAACTGTAAAGAGCTGAAAAGGATTGCCCAGGACAGGGTTGGATGGCGAGTGCTGGTGGGCGCCCTATGCTCCTCCACGAGGAGTAACAAGCGTAAGTAAGTTATGGGTAATGAATTGTAAGCTCACAATAATAAAAAAGATAATGATAATTAATGAATTATAAGGAATTTACTAGTTGAATACATGAATCGATTAAAGCTAGACTACCATGGAAAACCTAGAAGCACTGGATGGCTATTTCGTCCTAGTATGGGATTCCCGTGAGCGGGATTGTGGGATTTTTATGAAATATACTAAAGATAATAGACCAGATTATTAAAAAAATGACAACTAATAGCAAATTTATAAGCCAGTAAGTAATTCTTGGACAAATTTTAAGGATGTTTGAAAAATATAAAAGCTACATTGAAAGTCTTCTAATTAAGACTATATAATTGATACTGAGATGGTGGAGAAGATTTGTAGCTCAGGCGAAGTTTTGTTCTCTCTAGCTCAGAGAACAAAACTCCATCAAAATAAGTGATACTTGTAGAATCAAATTAAATTTACATAAACTAGACTAAAACCTTATTCGTTTTTGTATCATTTCAAGACAATATTATGGATATCAGATCATACACTTGTAATAATCGCTTAGTAGTCTTTATTAACTAGTTACAAGATACATATTTTTTTGTTGTCTCTATAAAATTATAAATCTGTTACTTAAATCATTATGTAACATGTTCATTATAATTGAATTTGTTACATTGGAACTTAATAATTTGAAAATTAACTTTAATTAGTTTTATTAAGTTGACTGTATGAAAAATACCATTTGAATTGATCAGTTCAATAGTTTTACATAGTACACAGTACTATTGTTCCGAATATTAAATAAACGATTCTCTCTCACAACTGACCCATTTGAACTCCATTGGTTACTGCTTCTTACTAGAACTCCAGGAAATACCTCTTGAAGCCAGTCACTAGTGAATATATGTTTAGGAGGTATATTCAAGAGGTATTTCCTGGAGTTCAATTGAGAAGCAGCAACCAGTGGAGTTCAACCGGGTCAGTTGTGAGATAGTAACTCACTGATGACAATGGTGGATGTGTCGCTCAATTTCGTGGATTAGTTGAAGTTAGATATTAACACCGTTGTATGCCGATTCAGTGGTTCAGTGGTTAAGCGTTCGCACGCGGAACTGATAGGTCCTGGATTCGAATCCCGCGAGGCGGGATCGTGGATGCGGATGAGGAGTCGCATAATAGGATTAAACGGCCATCCAGTGCTTCCAGGTTTACCATGGTGGTCTAGCTTCAACTGACTCATGATCTCAACGATTAAAATTATTATAATCTTCACAAAACTCCTGATACTAAAAAATTCTTTGTTTGAAACGAATTTGTAAACATGAAAAACAGTTCAATCGAACATTGTGTCTATCACTATACATATATATACTAATAGTTTAGAAATTAAAGAAAATAATGTGCTCATAAAGTTAACTGTCAACACTTAGTGAACTAAATTGTTTTGTGATCGATATTTTGAGCGATCAGTCAATGGATAACAGTTGTTCTATTATTTTTACTTATCTATGTCTGTTTCACAGGAAGGTTACCTACAAAATCAAAGTAAAGCATACACCCTCAAGAATTCAACCAGACACTAAGCGTTAATACAACCGAATATTGTACTATTAATCTACTCAGGTTACAGGTATTCTCTTCAAGGATTGCATAATGCTCATATCTAAAATCCATTTTATGATATGAATTTACTTCCAATTTAGAACTACTCATCAATCTTAACTACTACGTTAAATAATTTTCTATCTTCTCTAAATTTCTAATTTTTTTCTGTGTTGTTTGTAACTCAATTTCATTGATTAAAATATTAGTAACGTTCTTTACAATAACGATACTAGTTGTAACTCCAAGTAGTTTATAGCTAATCATAAACCTCAAAATACAATGAATTCACTTCATTCTATAAGTCATGTTATTCTTGTTTTGTTTAAATGTATCAATTAATTAGTCTGTCTGTATAATGTCGATGAAATGACAAGTTTAAGACTTATCAATTCATAAATATCAAACATTGTTCCAAATACAGTCTACATTTTTAATTGATAGATTGATAATATAATATACAAATTTGTATATGTACAACATAATTGATGGTTTTAAGAAGTACACTAGTGAACATATCAAATGTTTTTAAGATATGAAGAAATCTTAATTCATTTTGTATTATTTGTTTGAATTTTCCCATTGATATGTAGGGCTGTAATTGATCAGTCTCTTATTGGCATATGTGCGTCCTGTTCGGATTACATCGATATTGTCTTAATTCACAAGCATTGTAAGCGAAGATGGATATTGGCTATCAGGACTCAGTAGCTAAGTGGATAACGTGAATGCCTTTAAAGCGAACGGTACTAGGTTTGATTTCTGGAGTGAACATTTACAGGATGTTGTAGTTTCACATTAAGGAGTGACCTTTAATAGGACACCCATTGAAAGCCAGGAATCAATGAATAGCTGTTTCATCATCATATGAGATTACTCAATAGTGTGAACTTATGCCAAATTCAGGATCTCTTACCTATACATACTCATAATAATGACAGCAACCATAGTTTGTTTGGGATAGATTTTTTCGAAATAAATATCAAATAAAAATACAACCAATGTTTTGTGAACGACTTACATTTCTGATTGATTTAGGCCTAATGCCCGACAAAATTCTTCGATTGTTATTTGATCATCTTTATCAACATCAAAACGATCGATCCATTGCTGTGGACCAAGAAATAAAATAAATTGCTAATAGATACAGGTATGATAATAAGTACTGTGACCAAGTTCACAGACATCACTGCACACTAGTGAAAAAGCTGTCTAACATAGGTCATCTGGTACCTTCAACAATATTCAAGAATGTCCACAAACCCCATATACTGATAGTTATTATATGTTCACGAACGATTAAATTCGAATGAAAATTTAGAGAGTCGCACTGACAAGCCAAGACTAGTGATGTTTAAACATATCGAATGTTAAAAAGTTGACCATCAAAGACAAAGGAAGATTGTTGCGCAATATCGCGAACTATAAATTTACTGTAGTTGTAAGGTGTAAGTGATTAAATTCTGAATCAGAAGGTTTAAAGTTTGACAGCAAGTTTTCAAATAATTATAAATTGTTCCTTCAATGCTCAAAATGCAACCGATAATCAGACTTACCGCTTTAACCTCAAAATTTTATCATTACTTATACATTTTTTGTTTGAATCTATTTTTTTCTTTATTTTAGAGAAACTGACTTGTAATGCAAGGATTATGAACTTAAAAACATTTATAATAAGTAACAATGATAATTACTAAACACATTTCATCACTAATTACTTCCACTATTATGAATCATACATTTACTGATGATTGTCTCCAACTAGGATTTCTTAGCATTCTATCAAGAAGTAATGAGTTATAGAATTGTCTATGATGCAAGTCCAATAGAAATAGTAACTGATGTTTATACCACATCACGAGTAACGGAACTTGAAAAAACGTGAAAATCCGAGTCATTATATTACATTTACTTAATTTTGAAATATTATACTTGTTATAAAAAAACATAAAGATCTTTTGAATCTATCCTTTATTACGTCGTAAGTGTACAGCGCTAGGGTATCGCAAATCATTGCGAAGCAACTGTCTACTATCAGATTTTAGTTTACATTTGTTCTCTAACTAACTTTACTATGTGGTAATAACTGTTTTCATAATCTTTATACAAAACACCTTGACGAATAATAAATTTCTTGAATAGTTGTTTGGTGTTTCCATACTGTTTGTATACTTTTCTTGATGATAACTGTTTTCTGAAAAAAAAGCGTTTCAACTATTCGTTGATCTAATTAATCTACCCACAACACTTCGTTTCATCAACAAACTTTAAGACTATTTAGTCGAAAATTTGATTTTGTAATTGATATTTCATTACTGTTGACTTCTCTACATTTCCGTCATATCAAGGTATACAAACCGTTGTAACCATTGTACTATCTTGATAAATAAAACTGATCAGTTATGATTATTATTCTATTACGAAACTCTTTTTAAAGAAAATCAGATGCCAGTAGTAACTGCAATTTTACTAATTTAATCATAATATTATTGACGGGTTAATTGATAATACGATGTGTATCTAACATTCGCTTGAGTTCTGAATGATATTTGATAATTTGAATCTTTCCATTGATGTTTAAGACTGCAATTTATCAATCTCTTATAGGCATATGTGCATACTGTGCGTATTGGCTCGATTCTGCCTTAGGTCACAAGCATTATAAGCAAGGATAGATGATGGCTTGCAGTGAAATCCATACTATTTGGGACTCGTCAGCTTGATATGCATGCATCTGAGTTGATGTTCACTCCGGGACTTTTTATTTTTCTGCCTATAATTTGTAAACTTATATACTATCTAAAGGGATAGAATTAGCAACAGAAATTTGGTCTCTGGCGGTTATCAATATTATCATCTATCAAACAACATTTTGTTCATTCCACTAACATCCCATTGGTATTCGTAACCTGTAGAGGACTACAGTAAGGTGAAAAATTATCTATTAAACAGAAATTAATAACTTAGAGAAACTAACTGTTATGCAAATGAGTATATATATAAATTTTATAATTTACCTGGACCAAATTTTGATCAAGATTTTTCTTCTTACAATAATCAACTAATTCATGCCGTTCAGCAACTAGATCACCATCAGAACATACATGAAGATATGCTTTGATAAATTCTTCCAACATTCTGTTTGTTTCTCGAGAAAATATCGAATCTGAAATTTATAACTTCTTATATTCGAAAATACGTTCGCTTCAATGAAGTGCTATATATATATATATACCATATATTAATCACAATTTGCATATTGTGTAGGGTTTTTTAGTGCTGGATAAAAGCGAATACCTAATAAGTCTATTTGAGGTCATTTTAAAACAGAAAATAAAGACAAATTTAGAATTTAATGTATAGGTGTTTATGTATAAGTGTATACGACGTAGTGCGTGTATGTAAATTCAATTGTTTTAGGTTTAGAAACTATGCTTTTGATAACAGAATAACTTGGATAAACACATTTCATAAGTACACTCATTGCTTGTGCACCAATATATATAAACGTATGTGTACATTTATATACATTTCTCTGTTAGTGCAGTGTTTGATAGTATTATTTATATTTTATCTGAACTTATACTTTGTAGTTATGCCTATTTGGGTGCTTGTGTGTGTGTAGTTGTTCATAAAATGAGACCGGCCATACACTGAAGATTAATTGATAATCAAGTTGTTAGTATTACTGATGGGGTAGTGCATCAACCTAACTGCTTACAAAACTGTACTAATCAATAAGTGGCAAAAAGCACTCAGGCCACACGAAGAAAATGACTGATAGATATCAGAAACCAAAAAGTACAATTATTAGTATGGATTTATGGAGATTGTTAGACTTTTTTATTGTGATCATGAATCGATTGATGTTAGACTACTACTGGACGGCCGTATCGTTCTAGTTTGGTACTCCTCAGCAATGCGCATCCTCGATCCCATAAGTGGGATTCGAATCCATCACGCAAGAATAATATTCTTGCTTTGCTTATTTGTACTATTTAAACTTGGACTAGTTTTGATTTGATTACTTATTCTCTGAAGAAATGGCTTATATTAAGTCACGAAACATCAGAAAATCTAATTTTTCTACCCATTGAGATATTACAAATTTATTTATTTATTTATTGTATTAGAAATTTGTTCAGTAGAACAAATAAAATCCCAAGCTTTAAATTTCTGCTTAAGCTTTTTCACGAAGGACTGTGTATTATGTGAACATAACAAAATCTTAGTTGATAAGTAATATCAAACTCCTTTTTTTCAAGGCAAATAAGAAATTTTAACCTATTAATAGAATATCACGATACTAACTAATTTTTATAATGAATTCTTTTCATTCTTTTAATAAGAATTTATACCTTGTAGAGTTATACAGGCATAGAATCAGATTATAACATAATAAGTGGATTTGATATATTACACCATTACTTAAATGAATTAACAAAAAGTCTAAAACTGGATATCCACTTACTTCCCGATGGATATTATGCTCTCTATGAGACTTAACAGTCATTAGTTTAATGTCTGTAATGAAATTGTAGATGTGCACTAATAAACTAGTGTAGAACAGCTAATTAACGATCCTAAGAAGAGCTCGTGCTATCTAATTTCTTCCATTACATGTTAGCGTTTTCTTTAAAAGATAGCCACAATAACAGTTTTTTCTTATTCATATTTTCCTAATGATATTTGCTTGTATCCAACTGACTGTTGTCATTTTTACTTTACAAATTTTATGTGTTCGAATGTCATTAGATGTTATTGTATAAACAGAGTTGTTCCATGTTGATATTTGACTTTTGTTCAAAATATAAAGCTATCGTGAAAGTCCCTTTTTCTCTACCTTAAATTAACTCGTGGATTATTGACGTAGAGTACTGAAACGTTCTCATTCATTGTGTTTGTATTGAAAGAATTCTGATAATTGTATAATTAATAATTGTTATACGATTTCAGAGATAGATTGAAAATCATATTAAATACCTGGGATGGGTTTAGTTTGAATTTATTAGATGAGGGAATATATAACAAAGAGGAAAGACAATATTAAATCTCATCATCAGTTACTATGATGGTATCTTTTACTGTGCTAAACAATTTAAGTTATCCTATTACATACTGAGTTTTCATGAATCAAAATATTTCGTTTTAAATACTATCACAATTATTTCTATTTATCTGAGAGATGGATTTTGTGTTCATTACAAGAAATATATAAACAGATATATAAATTTCAGTAGTTGAGATCATGAGTCAATTGAAGCTAGACCACCATGGAAAATCTGGAAGTACTGGATGGCCATTTCGTCTTATTGAGGCGGGGTCCTAGATGTACACTGCTGAGGAGTCCCACAATAGGACAAAACGGCCATCCGGTGCTTCCAAGTTTTTCATGATGGTCTAGCTTCAATTGATTCATGATCTCAACTATTGTAATTACTACAATCTCCACCAAACCCATTCTGATAATAATTAGAAATATATCTAAATCGTTATCATTTAAATGAACCATATTTGGATAAGTCGACTGATAACTCTCCAATCTATATCATACACTTATTTCTATTATAGACATAACATCTTAACGTATTCCTACACTCCAATTTTGATGCTTATACTTTAAATGTTTGAAGTAATAGAGATTAAGTTTAACTTTTAGTATGGACAATAACATTGTAATATAAGTATACTTAAATAATAACTTGCAATTATAAATGAAACATACATTATAGATTTGAAACAATCCAAAATATAATCAATTATATTATCATAATTAGCAATATTATTATTGTTATTGTATTTGTCATTTAGAAAATTACTTTTTTTGAGTATTTTGTTTGAATGAATTAAAATACATGAAACAAATCCGTTAAATGAACTTTGTACCTTCCTCTATATACATGAAGATATAATAAATTACATTATTAAAATAGTTTAAATATTGAAAAAAATTTTATTAGTTAAATAAGAATTTAAAATATACTAAATTGAGATGCTGAGTAAATCATCATCACTATTATTATGATTATTAAAGTTAATCAGAACAGTCGAAACACTGAAGAAGTACATTGTAGATAGATAGATAGATAGATAGATAGATAGATAGATAGATAGATAGATAGATAGATAGATAGATAGATAGATAGATAGATAGATAGATAGATAGATAGATAGATAGATAGATAGATAGATAGATAGATAGATAGATAGATAGATAGATAGATAGATAGATAGATAGATAGATAGATAGATAGATAGATAGATAGATAGATAGATAGATAGATAGATAGATAGATAGATAGATAGATAGATAGATAGATAGATAGATAGATAGATAGATAGATAGATAGATAGATAGATAGATAGATAGATAGATAGATAGATAGATAGATAGATAGATAGATAGATAGATAGATAGATAGATAGATAGATAGATAGATAGATAGATAGATAGATAGATAGATAGATAGATAGATAGATAGATATGGTTTGAGTTATTCAATTATTTGACCTGTAGTGACCTACTTTTACCAAGAGAAGGCGATTGATTTAGCGGAAACAATCATTATTATAACCAATTGTACCAGTAATTGTTTTACTGTGCTAAAGACAGCCATATTATTACTGCTCCTTTATCCTTCCACTGATTATGACCTTGCACGGATTCGGTTACGCTCTGTAACCACGCTTGTATTCCTTTGGCACGATCTCGGTATCCTTTCGATACCACGAGATCGCCAACAAATACATCTCAACTACATCCATCAGCTGCCTTCTGACATTTGGCTTACGGGGGATTTTATCGGTTAACTGGCACATAGTCTTCTTGTAGTGGTGTTCATAGTCAAACGCTACTCGACACCAGGCTACAGACCGATGATAAGAATAGTTAACTATACAATGCCTAATGTTACATGAATATTAATTGATACATTAAATATCGATCATGTTAATAATTATTTCTATAGTAATTACTTATCTAAAATGATAGTTCAATGTCTCAAATATCATTACATATAATAAATAATTATATAATTATTTACAATAATTCAAAGTTTATTATTCCATTATTATGTGCCATTTTACACATTTGTACATAATAAATAATTTCCATAACTAGAAACAATTAACCTAATATATTTAAATCATTAATAGCATGTTCAGTATTTTTGAAAAAAAAGTCATATTTCATACCCTTAATTGTTTCGATCTAGACTAGACATACAAAGTCATAATTAATTTTGTGAACTATGATAGACCAAGGTTTAAATTCATAAAATCAACAACTCACATATATGATTAACTCTTTTCAATTGATTGAAGTAACAAAAGGTATAGTATTTACAGTTAGTAAGTGAATTTTGTGTGAATTAACTATTGTTTCCAATGTAGGAGGCTTATAAAGATTATACAATTTATATCACTGACTTAATTTACTTCAACAACTAAACAATTATCATTGAACTTCTCAAATATGTTCATCAATAATCTTGACAAGGCTTGAACTTAAAATCGTTAGGTAACATGAGGAGAGGATATGCCAGTGAACTAGTCACTGGAAATCCACACTTCAATCACTACAACTTTCATGAAAGTGATTATTATTAAATAAAATGACACCCATACACTAACGTTCCTGACAGTTGTATGAGATGTTTTTAAAAAAATTAATGCAAACTACACGAAATTCTGTACAAATTATTTGTTTTCCTACATTTATATACCTGGTTCACTCATGGTTAATCCTGTAAGCTTTAAATGAGAATGGAAATATTTCCTTTTGTCCCCTGAAAAAATGAAATTCGACAAGCCGAAATAAGCCCTCATTATCTAATACAATAAGGTAAAATATACATTTTAACCAAAAGGATTTATGGTTAACTAGTTCGTAATACCCTGACATTATACAGTGACTATACAAGTATTAACGCTGAAGCCTATGTAAAACACGTAACAACACCAGTGTTAAATCAAACACTAAGTAATACAAACCTTTTTTCGACTATTAATGCTTTTCTTAACTTTCATTGTATAATGATATCATTTTTAGTTGAATAAAGTTTCATCTTAACAGTAGGTTTATTCTCATGATTTAGTAGTTCCCATGGTTTATTATTCGATAATTTATGAGTATCCCGATTAAAAAGAGTTATAGCTAAGTCTGTTCATGATAAAAAAACATAATTATCGCCAGTTAACACTCGTATTCCTATCATCTAATTTCTGACTTCTTACTCATAACGCAATAATGAAATTTGGTGAGAAAAAGGGTACTACTTAAATACTATTAAAGCACTATGTTTAAAACTATATAATTTCATAGCTTACCAAACATGAATTAATCTTTCGCTTAATTATTTATTAATTCTTATTAATAAATGCTACTGTTGATAAACAGTTTCATAGATGAAGTAATTTGACGGTATTTACATCATGTTGCACATCACAAAGGATAAATAGAAATATATACTATTTGATCAAAACCATATAGAAAACAAAAAATCCAGTCGTAAGCATACATACAATTACAAGGG